AATTTCGAGGGAGGACAGTTTTGGTTTTGCGAAATCATAGTGTGTAACATTCGTATTGAACCCCCCTAACCCCTAGGCAATACAGATTTCAAAATTTTCAATTCTTCCAATCAGTGTTGGAAATCCAGGGTGCGGAGGATGCGGGTGCTAACCAAATTTGGCAACTATTTGCAAAAATCCGCTGATAATTTCCATATCTGATTAGCACGCACTCTGAATTTCCAACACTGCTTCCAATTCGTTCATTTTTAATATAAAAAATTTGCGTGTAACACGTCACTTTGGGGGATTAACATAGTAAATTTGTTAAACTTGTGCAACTTTAAGATTTAATTCCTCCACAACAACATGACATATCAACAAAATGAAAATGTCATTTTGTAGAAAAAGGTCTTAGCTTCAAAATGACATCTTGTTTTTTTTGGTCACATATTTCCATTTTTGGAGGAGTTAAAGGATTTGCAAGTCTAATAAAAGTTGTAGGGACTAGGTGTCCTGCACTATATAAAATTCAATGTGCGGAATGTGTGGGTGTAACATAATATTATTATTTCAGGAAATGTTTCTTTTTTGTATCGTGATCAATATAACTGTATATTAGTTATATTATTGATTTTATCATTTATTATCTCAGAAAAACGCTCCTTTTTTGTATCATGAACAATATATCTGTATTTAAAGTTATATCTCATTTGAAAAATTTAGAAAAAAAAAATCATTTCTTTTTTGTATTGTATGTATAAAAAGGTTGATTTCACAATCTTCCGACAACTTATATAAAGATCAGTGTAAATAAGTATTGTTTTTAAAAACTCCATTTACATTTATAAAATCTTTATAATTACGAACTAAAATTTAAAGTTGCGTGTTCTTGATAAGTCTGTTCTCTCAATAAGTCTGTCCATCATGCCCAGCCATTCATGACCGATTTATCAAGTTTACCTATGTATATTGTGCATAAAAAATCTCAAAGATAAAGGTCCAGAGACTTTTACAATTTTCAAGCATCTGACTTAAAGCTCTTGATAATTTGTCTGTCTCCAAATAATATTTTTAATTAATTGTAATAGGTTTCCTTCAGTTTAGTACAATTATTAAAAGATTGTCATCTTTATATACTTTTTTCCAAGTTTCTCCAATTGATTTAATTAGTACCTCTAAATATTCATGATCTTTTTAGAAACACCATTAATCGTCAATCCTCTAGCTAATATAATTTAAATCTACAGTAAGATTTAATTCGTTATTATTATTTCTGATACTAATATACACAGCTGAACTTCATTATAACGGATTTTTAAATGACAATATTAATCTTACCTTTCATATATTAGTTTTTTCTAACTGAGCATTTACTTTCCATTTCAATTGTAATTCTTTAAGTTTTTAATCTCCTCTTCCATGTCATCGGCATCATTCCAACCACTGTTACCAGAGCCAAAATTTTAATTCATAATAATTTTCACGAAACTTTTTCCTTTTTTGGCTCATATCTATCTTCTGCACTTTCTTGTTTCAGTTTTTTTTTTGAAATTGGTGACATTTTATTTTATTATATACACGATTATTTTCCCCTCGATCGTTTGATCAGTTCAAATTGACGTGGAATGGGAAATTGGGTGGGAGCCAGGGACAATGCTATTTAATGATATTGTTAAATTCTTGAATCTTTCTTTACTAGGGCACTAAGTAAGAATTGGGAGGAGGAGGAAAAACGCAAACCGAGTAAAATAAGTGGCAGATATCTACAATTCAACATTGTCGGAAAACTCTCTAGGATTGGGACTGTTTCTGGAATTGTTAGTGTTGAGTCTGGAAGTGAAAGGCATAAATTGGTAGGTCCTTAAGTTACGCCAAGTTATACAGGTATGAAGGTTGTCTTTCCTGACCATGAATACATTTATTTAACATGTCGGTCGCGCTTATTATGCCATTTATATATCAAGTCAACGTTTTGTTCCTTTTAATAATTTCAAGATTTGAACAATACTTAATTGAAATTGTTACATGGAGGTAACATAGATGTATATTTTTACCCACATATCAAAATTTCAGGTGAGATTATTAGGGTAGTATTTTCTATTTAAAATAGCATCATTAGGACAATATTCATTCTAGGCAATGGATATTTCGAGGTATTGGTTGAACTGTTAAACTTAAAATGATGCAGTAAATCATAATAAAGTTTATTTAGCATGCGAAAATATAATATTTTAATGTCTTTAATAGTAATGAAATTAATAATATATAAACAATAAATCTAACTAATCTAACTAATTTACAAATTATTAATAAGGGAAAATTCTATAAATAAATAAATAATAAATTTTTATCAAAATGTATTTATTACATCATCCAATAATTTATCGAGATCCTAAAGTAAAAATATATAAAGTAAATAAACAATTTATGCGAGTTAAAAAATATATAAATGGGTTGAAATAAAATAAAATTACTACTAACCTGTTCCATTTTATCAATTTGTTGATTAACATCAGAAAAAATATCTTTAATTTCTTCTTTTATTTCAGTTGGCTTAATTTGTTTCAAAACTTTCTCAGGATCTTCATTTAAATGCCATCCACTCTTCCTACGCTCTCTCAATTCCAACATATTAACACCTGATCTCACAAGCGTCAACAATTCTTTCAAACCAAAATCATCTGACAACACCAAATCAATTTCAGAAATTGACAATGCAGATAATGATGATGTTGATGATGATGACATTTGATGATGTTTATTAAGTTTTTGTAGATTATTGGTTGATGATGAGTTTGCTGAACTAACTGATGAATTGGAAAAGGATCTGTCTCTTGTTTTTGTTTGTTGGAATGGTTGCGTTTTACTATTAGGTTTGTAAACTAAACTACCTGCTGTATCTTGATTTTCGGATTCTATGCTCATTATTGAATTGGGTTGAGTAAAGTTTGGATTGAAATTCGGATCAGAATTAGGATTTAAGTTTGATTTACTCAACCTATATGATGGAGTTTGTTTTACTTTTTCAATTACAAGACCAATCTTGTCTAATGATTGACTTGACCTTTCATCACCGTTACTATTTTGAGCCCGGCCTACAATCTTTACCAAAATATCTACATCTTGGGTACTACTCCTTCTATAAGATTTCTTTTTGTTAGGAGCTGGCGATGACAATGATTCTTCATTACTACTATTATTACTAAAATCTGTTGATGTCAAGTTTGAGTCTTCTTGATGTTTTTGGTGTTGTTCTTTTATTGGATCTTCATCAATATCCTCCTCTACCACAAGCTCATAATCATCACCCATAATATCTTCAACAATGTCACTGATATCAATTTCTTCGCCATCAGCTGAAATAAATGAATAACGTACTTTTGACCCACCAAAAATCCTTGAACTTCTAATTGCTCCATCCCTTGTGACAATATCAATACCTTGTTCAGTATTTTTATGAGCTGATATAATAGACTTTTGTTTGGCTCTACTGTATTCACGTTGCTTTTCAATAAGTTGTTTTCTTTTCAATAGTTCATCATTATTGTCACTATTTTCATTCATAGATTCATTATAATTTATCATTTGTTTTTCTAATGACGATGATGATGATTGTTGCATATATTTTTTTGGATCAATAGCATCTGGCATTGCACGATTTATATGATCTTCAGGTTTTAATAGACGTAAAACAAAAATGGGTTCATCTGGAAGATAATCCAATGCATGTGAAGAAGCGGAATCTAATGAATCAATTGATAAATGTCTAAGATTTGGTGGTGTTGGATATTCAGACAGGATTCCTGCTTTAGGATTTAATAACTTTTCTATTTATGGTATAAAATATAATAAATCATTTAATTTTATGTTTATAATAATAATATTTTATTTATTAAAAAATGTCCAAGTGTCAAAAGTATTCATACCATTTCCTTCTATATTAAGCATTAGTCTATAACGTGGTATTTCATCATCATTACTTTCTATGTGTTCACCATCATCAACAATACCATCAACAATACCAAATTTCTTCATTGATTTCAATATAACATCAGCAACAGTTGTCAAACCATTGACAATCAAATGTTTTTCCCTTGGTTTTCCTTCCTCGCGTGAACGCCTCCTAGCTGTTTTGTCAGCAAGATGTTTTGTTACTGACAAGGATGTTCTTGGTATTGGTGTCAAGGGACCTTTGGATCGTAGATGAGTTGGTAAGTCGTCAGCATATGTTATAACACGTAAATGTAATTTTTTATCACCAATAGATGATCTACTATTTCTACTAATTTTTTTATTTAGATAGAAGGCAACAGTAACAGGATTTTCATTATAATTTGATTCAAGATTTTTTATTTTTGGATGATTTGACATGTTGGAGGATGTTGAAGATATTGATGCTATTGAGCTTCTTTTTATGGATGGTAATGGAGCAGTTGAATATGAATTTAATGATTGAAATATCTCTAGAGGATGATCATGCGGCATCAAATGTGATTCCTCTATATATATGTGTGTGTGTGTGTGTGTGTGTATATATATTAAAAATTGAATATTAAAAATTTAGCAGGGGAAAAATCATAAATCCTAAATCATAAGAAATATAAAAATTACAAACCTCCATTAGTTTTTTTTATTGTAATATAATAATCATCCCAATTATTTTCATTATCAATTTTAAATCGATTTAATGCTTGTTTAATAAGGTCAGTGGTGGTAGTCATTTGATTGATTAGAACAATTTTGAAAGCAAAATTAAATTTTAGATTCTGACCAGAGAAAATACGAAGGATACTATAGGTAGGAGGAGATGATGGTAATAGTTGTTGTACAGAAGAATTTTCATATTTTGAATTTTGCATGGGTTGTGCAGATGATAATGATTGTGATTGTTGTTGTTTTGGTGGCAGTGGTAGATTACCATTTGAACAAGTAGACTGTTGTTGTTGATGCTGTGTTTGAATGTTGAGAAGGGGCCTTTGAGAATCACCAAGTGACATATAATTATTCTGTTGACCTTGTGGATATATATCAGGTTGTTGAAATAATTGTTGGTGTTGCTGCTGAGATATTTGAAAACCATGTTGTGGATTCACTTGCACTCTTTGTTGTTTCTGTTGTTGTATTTGATACTGACTTTGATTTATTGTTGGTGGTATATAATTAGGTGTGATGTTATTTGTTGATTTTGACATAAGATTCATGGCATTATTGAAATCAGTTGTATAACTATTATAAATTTTTGCTGAATTGGATGATGATGATGATGATGATGATGATGTAAATGATGAGGGTAGTGAAGATGATGGTGAAGGTGGTGGTAGTGATGACGATGAGAAATTTTTGGTTATTTCTAATTTGACAGATTCATCTTTTTTCTTTGATGAAATTTTCTTGAGTAAATTCTTGAATAATCCTCCTGGTTTTTCTTTTTCTTTTTTTTTCTCTTCTTGAACTTTTAAAGTCATCATTTTATTATATTCTGCAAGGGCATTTTTACTGCTAGATTTTTTATTAATGTTATAATTATTATTACCCTCCTCTTCATCATCTTCAGTAAAGTCCATGAAATCACTACCTAGAGCAGGTGTAATACTCGCTTTTATATTCTGATTTGGTTCATCAGGAAGTGATAGAACAAAGATATTTGAATTAGCAGGCTGAATATTATTATTGTTCAGTTCGATTTGATTTGTAGGAGAAATAATACCAGTGGATTCTGGTGCCATTTGAGGTTGATTATTAGAATCAAAACTGCCATTATAGTTTGGTTCATTCTGTTGATTGTAGTGTTGATTGTATGGGTGGTTATTATTACTTTGTTGATTGTGTGATTGATCATTATAATTATTATATGGCTGATTACTATTATTATTGTTATACTGCTGGTTATATTTCTGCTCCATTTGTTGATTAATATTAGGAGTGGAATTCAATTGAGTTGGTTCTGGACTTAATGGAGGACTTATTAACTGATCTATAGTTACTTGTTTATTAATATTAAGATTATTAAAATTATTTTCTGTTTGCATTTTTGAAGAATCTGATGTAATGCTTGTCTTATTATCAATAGATACAAAATTATTATTTAGTGTTGAAGGGTTTACAATATTCTCAATAGGACTATTTAAAAAGTTTTTATCTTCGATTTTAAATTCTTTTTTTTCTGTCATTAATACATCTTCATTTTTTAGTTCTAAATTGGTGTAAACTACACCATTATCTCTATCCATATCTTCATCAAAGTTTTGTCCATCATATGCTTGATTTTGTATTTGAATAATAATATTATTATTATTGGCATCTACTTCTAATTGGTTTTGTTTTTTAATTACAACTTTAGATTCTTCATTTTCATACTCTCCTTCATCTCCTCCAACTTCAATATCATCATCCTCATCATCCTCATCATCCTCATCATCCTCTTCATCGTCCTCATAATCCTTATAATCATCATCAATATTATCATCAGCAAACATATATAATTGTGGATTAAAAGTGACAGCTTTTCCTTTAATCTTATTTTTCCTTTTTGATATATTAGCTAGTATATCATCTACTCTATTATTTTTGGAAGATGATAGCTTACAAAAATAAAAATATTCATTTATTTAATTAATATATACTTTTTTTTAAAAAAAACCGAATTTAATTAATTATCACCCACATCAACATTCCTATGCTTATTTAATCTTGCCAGTCTTTCATATGGTGTCTAATTTAATTTATATATTTGTATTTATATTAAAATCATAATAAGTAAATAAATATATAATATTCAAATTTATAATAAATACCTCAATGTTTTCAGCAGGTATATAACCAATTTCTTCACTTCTTAACACTTTAACTAACCACCAATAACTATTAGAATCATCTAACAGAGTTAAAGGATCTCTTTTCTCTACACTTGCTTGACCTTCAACAATGGCTTGAAAAGTGTGAAATGCATAAACTAAATCAAAATCAATATCTTCTTCAACAATTGAGGAGGAGGAGGAGGAATCATCCTCATCTTCGTCCTCTTCATCTGCTTCCATTTTTCTAATATTACTTTCGTCATAGTTGTTGTTATTGGCTGCAGCAGTAATGGTATTTTTTTCATGATTATTATCATTATCATCAATATTATCTTGGTGAATATTTATTATATTATTAATTTTTCTATTAGTATTGATGTCATTATTGTTGTCAGTGTTGTTTATTCTTATTCCACGAACAATTGCATCTGTGTCAATTGTAAAATTATGTTGATTCATTTTTTTCAAAAAAATTTATTTTCTATATTTTTTTTTTGAATGTAAATGGACATATTGCAAAATATTATTGTTAATACTATTGATATTATAAATAAAAAAAATTTTCTTATTATAAATAAAGTAGAAGACACTGATTTTTAATACTTTTTTTTTATCTATATAAATTATAATGACATTAGTTGAATCGTCTTTAAATAATTGGTATTTATTTTAAACTTTTTTAAATCATTGGCTAAATTTTTAATATATATATATGGAGAAAACAATCAAAATGTGTCATGTGTGAAGAACAAGTGTTCATTCATAGTTTGTGAATTATGTTTTAATTATCTTTGTTACAACCATGTGAATATAACTTGTCTTCAACACAACCAAATTGGAATAAATTCACAAGCCAGCATTACTGATGCTAATAAGAACACAAAATGTGAAAATGTGGAGGATAACAATCCAAAGAATTATGCAAATGTGGAGCCACCACTAGTCATATATCATTTTCAAAATGTCATTTGAACAAGAAATGGTGGGCAAATATAGAGTTTTGTGTATAAAGAAGAGGCTTAATCAATTTTTAAAAAATGATCAGTTGCTTCCAATTATCAAAGCCATGTTAATGATATAACTTATGAAGGTGCCAAAATTTTAGTTGTTAATCCTTGATCACCTCAACAAACCCAACTAACAACAATTACCTCAAATTGATTCTCAATTTGCTCACAGAATATTCCAATCAACAACAACAACACTTCATAATAATGATACTCTATCTAATACCAAATGTGATCTCATTAACAATATTCATAGTGAATATGCAATTCAACAGCCAGTAGAGATGCAATGGACATTAAAAAGTAAAATTTTTATTTTATTTAGAAACTGTATGTATCATATGGTCTTATTTTAAACTTACTTTATACCCTAACAATATAGGAAATACTAAGCCTAGCAGCACAGTAAACTGCTGTATTTTATATCATTGACATTTGAAAATCATGGCTCAAATATAAACTTCATGATCTTTCACAATGTTAAAATAAACCAAGTTGCAAATCATTTTTGGTATTTACTTACCACACACCATCAAGGCCTGCAAACTATCCCATAATTGACACTAGAGCACACCACCTACTTATTTATTCTGCTGTTCATACCTGCCATATATTAACAAAATCCACCAGGTGGTTGTAGGTCTTCTTCTTACAAAAGAAGAAATAGGTAATGAATAATCAAGGGTTCATTACCTTGCCCCTCTCTACCATATTCTTCAGTGCTTTGAGAAGTATTCTCACACACATATGGAGTTTGTTTGTTTGATCTGATGAGTTTTTTTTTTGATTTTTAATGATCTTTTATGTATAATAAATGTGTAAAAAAATATATTATTCATTTTTAAAAATGATTCACTTTTGATGTTAACCTTGTATCACTGTCATCATCATTCATTCATTCATTTGTTTGTTTGTTCATTCATTCATTTGTTCATTAATTCATAGGTTCCTTCACTACCTGTCATATACCAATTGATACAGATGCTCTATGACATTATTTCTGAAGCTGGTCTTAATAATGGTATGGACAAGATGCAATTTGGCAATGAAGCATTAGTTCAATGGACACATTTTTTCAAGGTTGAACAATTTGGTGATAACTTTGGCTTTTATATTGAAAGAGATAGGGTTTTTGTTAGTATAAATATAAAAAAACCAATTCATAATAATAACAATTATGACAATAATGGCAACAACAACAACAATAAAAATTTTTGGAATTTAGATTTAATTGGGAAAAAAGTTGTTGTTTTAGACATAGGAGGGTGCGACCTTTTGCTTCAGCTGACACTAATGACAATATAGCCAAATGCTCAACCAAAAGATATTATTATTTAGCTAATTTTACCAGAAACAGAAAGAAATGACAAAAATGGTTGGATAAGGTATACATACATAATAATACATTATTATCATTCATTTATACTATTTATTTATATACATTATTAACTTTCTTCTTCATAAAAGAACCAATATGACAAATCTTTAATTTGCCAAATTCCTACTTCAAAAACATCATCAAGAGATAACTTTAAGAATTATTTACAATTTATACTCTCTAATTATCAAACCTCCAAAGTGTTCTTTGATCCAGCCATTTTTGTTTTTTAAAACTTGATAATTATTGTGGAAAGCAGTCAGTCTTTCTGTTCTTGTTTGTCATATCACTGGAAATCCATTTAATGATTTTAATCTGGTATTGTTGTCACATTTGGTAGTGGAGGATTCTTATCATCATTAAAATATCATGCATCAGGTCCCAAGAAAGCTTTATATCAAAAATGTGATCATGTTTTTAATAAATGAAGCTTATACAAGTCAAGTATGTTTATCTATTTATAATTGAAATGTTGGAAACAATCCTGCCATGTTTTTGTTGATAATAAATAGAAAATAAAAATGGAATATGATAAAGATAAAAATAGATTGATAAAATTAAAAATAAAATTATGTAAAAATAATAATATATAGAAACAAAATTAAATTGATCCGGAATTAAGAGGTTCGGCCAAAATATCTACATTAAAGTCTAATCCTGGTAACAATATGTTAAAAAAAAAAGGACTTTTTCAGGACTTTCCAGGGCTTTAAGTCTCGGGACTTTTTCAGGATTTTAAGTCCCAGAACTTAAGTCCCAAGATAGAACTGTTTAGGACCGATTAATATCTCTAATTATTATTACAAAATCGTGGACTGGTCCATTACACAGTGATTTTCTGTTTTTGTATATAATAGTATTATATAGTTACACGACGAAGTTTACACATTCTGCGATTTTGCTATCATTTTGTTTCTAAATTTGTACCAATGGAATCTCAACATATTCCAAAATGGAAAAAATTTTTAGTTTTAAAAGAAGATTCTAATAAGGATGATAAGAGTGACATTACTAAACCAAGTTCCATTAATCAAATAGAAATTCATAATCAAGATAATAAAAAAATTAAAAGCAAATCGAAAAAAGATAAGGATAATAAAAAAATAAAACTTGAATATGAATCTAAGATAAAAAAAATTCCTGAAGAATTGTCATCAAATGGAAAATTAGGTAAATATATTAATGTATTTATTATTATATATATGTGCGTGTGTCTGAAATTTATTTCTCGTTCTAATTTCATCAATCCAAGCTCTAAATTATTTAATACAGTGGAAATATCATACAAAAGATTGGAAATTTCAAAAGATACGACAAATATGGTTACTAACAAATGTTTATAACATTAATATGGTAAATAATTATTAATTATGGTTATAATTGTAGAAATATTGATAATAATTATCATGTTTATTGAAATAGTTTCCTGATGAATTATTTGAAATATTTTTGGATTATTTGATTGATTTGAAAGGATTAGCTCGTGAAGTAAATTGAATTTTTTATTTCTAAATCAAATTTTTAATTTTTTGCTGAATCTCTAAAAATACTAAATAAATTTAGAAAACAATCAATGAAGCAACATCAATATTATCAGAATATAAACACAAGTTATCTGGAAACAACAATAATAGTGATGATGATGTTGATGATGAGGAGGATGATGATGAGGATGAGGATGAGGATGAGGATGGTGGTGGTAGTGATAAGAATGATAACAATAATGATAATTTAGAATCCAAATCATTCAGAGCTCAAGAAATTATAAGAATACTCTCCAATTAATCATAATGATGATAACAACAACAACAATAATGTTATTTGGAGAGTGCTGTGATCAAACCAGACCAGATTCTGACAAATATGTCCCGGATAATGGTATACCTTTCTAAAGTTTATCAAATATCTTTTTTAGCTATAATAAATAAATAATAAACATTTATAATTTAATTCCTTCACTTTTTATTTATAAATTATTTTTATTAATAGTAATAGTAATATATTCATACAACAAAAGAATCATAATAATATTATATAAATTCCTATTTTCATAATATCATGACAAATAGTTTAGAAGATCATCAACATGGTAACATAAAAAATATTCCCAAACTTAAGTCATGTGCATTTGTTAATATAGAATTAGTAGAAATAGTGAAGCAATTTATATTAAATTATGTAAACCTATATGGATTGCCATCTCCAATGGGAATTCATGACAATTCAGACCCATTCATTTATCTAAAAACTAAATGTAATTATCCTTCAGTTTTTAATGAATATGTAAAAGGCTTTGTTGATAGTTATGGCACTTCTATAATTAATTTAAAATATGGAGCTTTTGTGAAACTTTGGAGTCAATTAACATCACATGTTAAATTTTTAAATTCCTCAAGTGATCTTTGTGAGATTTGTGAAAAATTTAGATTAAAACTAATATCATCAAATGAGGAGGATGAAAAAATTGACATACAATTCAAGTTTGATGAGCATCTTGTAGCTGCAGATTGTGAAAGACAACATGATAACAAAATTATTGAAAAATGTAAAAATGATTTAACACTAACTCACATTTGCTATGATTATGCTCAAAGTGTTTCTGGCCATATTCACCTCAACAAGTTGGCTCAATTTATTTTAAAACTCCTTTTGCAATAAAACTCTTTGAATGCACTAAAACTGATGGAGGAAACAATTATCAGCTATAGGCGAAGATGAATTGCCACAAGGAACACCAAAAGGAGCCAATTCAACTCTATGATTTTCTTAGAAAGAAAAAAGACCTATATGTGACATGTATTTTTAAAAAATTTTAAATTATTGCGTGTAACAATAAAATGGGGTGTGCAGATCTATTATTTCGTGCAAATTATATACTTTAAAGAAGGTATATATTAGTATGGTGCGAATCATTTAAAGACATCACGTGCTGCGCCACCAGCCGAAAATTTTATGCCGATCTTGCTTTATAAAGAGCTCTATAGTTGGCTCGGTCTAAAGACCTCCTAAATTTTGGGCAAATTTTAAAAGTATAGAAGTCACTTTCTGTCCTACC